TTAAAAAAAAAAAAAAAAAAAAAAAAAAATTGATGCAATTTTACCCGATTGAATAACTGTGAAAAAACGGTACTCCGAGTTTTCTTTTTTTTCTTTTTTTTCGTTTTTCTAATGCTTTAAACAATGCTTTCAAAAAAACCATTTCAGTGAGAAAGAAAAAGGAAAAAGCAATTTTAAAAAGGTGTAATGGAAAATTGTTAAATGAAAACAGTTTAACAAAAAAACAAATAACATTTTTGACACATTTTTTTTTTTGTTTTTTTAAAGTAGTGCAAAAAAAAAAATTTTTTTTTGCTTCTTAATCAAATATTTTTTTTTTTTTTATCTATTAATACAGCTCTGACAAAAAAGCGTAAAAAAAGTGTAAGGTGAAGCAGCAGCAACAGCAGCAGCAAAAAAAAAAAAATGTTTCTAATTTTTTTTTGCATTTTTAAAAAAGAACAACCAACAAATTATTTTATATTGCGGTCAAAAACTTATTTTAAATTATTTCAAAAAAAAAAAACAAAAAATTTTCTCTTTAATTTTAAATTGAATAAAAAAATAAATTTTTTCTTTCTGTACTTTTTTTTTTTTTTCTTGATAAATCTAATCTGAAATGACAGAACTAAACCAAAATACTTATTGCTTTTTATTTGGTATAACTTAATTGCAAAAGAAAAAGAATAGAGCAAAAATAAAACTAGAAAAAGACAGTGGTTTTTCTTTTTAACCTTTCATAAGTAAAGCTATTTTTCTCCTGCTTTTAATTCTTTAATTTATCACCACTTTTTTGTCTCTATCAGTATCGGTGCTCACATTGGTGGTGGTGGCGGTGCTATTGTTTTATTCAAATACAAAAAAAACTTGAGTAATTTTGATTAAGAATGTTGTTAGTCAACTAGCTAACCATTTAATAACTTAGTTATTTAGTTAGTTACTTAGTTAGTTAGTTAGCTAGTCAGTTTTTGTTGTTACTACTGCTGTCGATGCCATTCGTAGCATTCAGATGATGCGACTTGTCTGAATTTTAAAATTTGAACTAACTTATTGAAAGAATTACAGTGACCTCTTTCTCTTTGTATTTTGCTTTTCCTCTCATCTTAAAATAATTCTTTATCAACAGATATTAATTTCTTTTATTTAACAATTTTATTTGCTTTTTTTTTTAAAACACTAATGAGTACTAAATTGAATGAATAAATTGTAAGTGTTTTTTTTGATACTATCTATTTTCAGTGAGCTTATCTCTCCAGTAACGCTTTCTTTGAACGAACCACCAATTTTGGTGCAGGCTCAACTTCTGACATCTGATGTCGACCTGGCAGTTGATGAGGTTGTTTTTTTTTTTTTTTTTTTAATATTTAGTTCGTTTGTCTCTATTAATTTATGTAATATTATTACCTACATCTAATATGTTTTAAATCTATTTCTACAGCTACTATCACAGTTATTTTTTAATTATTCGGTAACTTTAATGTCAATAAAATAATAATGGTAATAGTAGTAGTGATAGTAACATTGATAGTAAGAATAATAATAATAGTAGTACTAATAGTGGTATTGATAGTAGTAGTAGTAATAGTAATGGTAATTAGTAATAATAGCAGTAATACTGATAGTGATATTGATAGTAATAGCAATAGTAATAATAATAGTAATATTAGTAGTAATAGTAATAGTAACAGTAATAGTAATAGTAATAATAGTATTAATATTAATATTAATAGTGATATTGATAGTAATAGTTATAGTAATAGTAATAGCAGTGGTAACAGTGATAGTAATAGCAGTAGTAATACTAATAGTAATAGGAATAGCAATAGTAGTAGTAATAGTGATAGTGATAATAATAATAGTAGTAATAATAGTATTAATATTAATAGTGATATTGATAGTAATAGTAATAGTAATAGTAATGTAAGTTATAATAGACAGAATATTTGGTAAATTTTAAAGGTACGTGACAGCCCATTAGTTCTGGCTCCAGCAGATCCAAAAGAGGAAGCTACAGCAAAAATTGTGGAGAAAGCTGTGGGTGTCGATCCGGCCAAAATACCGCCAGCCAATGGAGGTATCAGTTATTAAGCTAACTGCTAATTCATCTAGCTTAGTAGTTCATAATTAAATCTATAATCGCAAAATATGCTAAACGTATGGTTTAACTGTTCTCAATTTCTTCTTATACTTTATTTAGTTTTCTTTGTCTTTGACTGCGGGAACAGTTGATTAATACGGATTCTTTTTTTTTTTTGTCCACTTACCAGTTACTGTGTCTGACTGAAAATATAGCGCTTTTGTTTATTTGCAGTGTTTATATTGCAGCTAAAAATATTCATATTACAGAACACTAAACAGTTTTCTAATTTCATTTTTACTCTTTTTCTGACTTAAAAAGTGTTCAAAAAGATTTTTATTTCATTTTTTTTTCAAAAATTTATCTTTGCTACAGCAATCACCAAATTTTTTTTCAGAAACAGAGAAAAAATTTTTCTTTTCTTTTTTTTTTTTTTTTTTTTTTTTTT